TTCATCTTATACGCAAGCTAATTTAAATTAAATTGCGTGCGCGCACGCGCGCGCTCGTTTTTCTTAATAAAGTATTTGTTTAATATTGGTCTCCAAGTCATCAATGATTCAAAACTGTTTAAAACTTTCTTTTTGTTATGCCTTAACCTAAGAGACTCAATTCCTTCTATGACTTTCCGCTGTCTTAATCTATACTCATTTCTCAATATTCGCGTGTTCTCCCAGTCTATTTCTTCCGTACACTCTATACTGTGCCTTGCTAAACCTCCGTCTTCTTTCTCCATTCGTTCTTCTGCCACCGCTATTCGTCCATTTCTCATATCCTCGTTTGTTAATCTTACTTTGCTCTCGTGTTCTTTCTTTCTCACCTTAAACAACCTCGACGTTTCTCCTACATACACCGCTTTCTTGCACTTGCATGGGATCTCGTAAACAACAGATTTTTGTTTTTCGCCAAGTGGTTGTTGAGCTCTTGCCTTCAATTCCTTTATTTTATTTCCTGGTTTAAATGTCGTCCGAAATGAATGTTTGGAAGCTAATCTTTTTAGTTGTTCCGATAAGCCCTGGATGTAAGGTACAATTATCATTCCTCTATACTCTTGCTCTTCCGACTCATTCCTTTCGCGTTTATCCTCTCGCATGTATTCTCGAACCCTCTGTCTTTCGAAACCATTTGCCACAAACACATCTTCTACGTTCTTCAGTTCTCCCTCTAGGTGTTTCTCATCACATAACGCTCGCGCTCTGTCTGCAAATCCTTTGATGATGCCTTTTTTCATACAAGGAGGATGATTCGATTTCGCTTTCACATTGATGTTGGTGTGTGTCTTCTTATAATGAACCATACACTCGACTTGTTTCGTTTTTCGATCGACTTTTTGTTTCACATCCAGTACTGGCAACGTATCTTCTACTTGATTTTCTTTCGTGAATACAATGACGTCTGGTTTAATGCTATTCAAGAAAGATCAATCCGAAGAAATACTCGAACACCTGAATAGCATTAAACCAGACGTCATTGTATTCACGAAAGAAAATCAAGTAGAAGATACGTTGCCAGTACTGGATGTGAAACAAAAAGTCGATCGAAAAACGAAACAAGTCGAGTGTATGGTTCATTATAAGAAGACACACACCAACATCAATGTGAAAGCGAAATCGAATCATCCTCCTTGTATGAAAAAAGGCATCATCAAAGGATTTGCAGACAGAGCGCGAGCGTTATGTGATGAGAAACACCTAGAGGGAGAACTGAAGAACGTAGAAGATGTGTTTGTGGCAAATGGTTTCGAAAGACAGAAGGTTCGAGAATACATGCGAGAGGATAAACGCGAAAGGAATGAGTCGGAAGAGCAAGAGTATAGAGGAATGATAATTGTACCTTACATCCAGGGCTTATCGGAACAACTAAAAAGATTAGCTTCCAAACATTCATTTCGGACGACATTTAAACCAGGAAATAAAATAAAGGAATTGAAGGCAAGAGCTCAACAACCACTTGGCGAAAAACAAAAATCTGTTGTTTACGAGATCCCATGCAAGTGCAAGAAAGCGGTGTATGTAGGAGAAACGTCGAGGTTGTTTAAGGTGAGAAAGAAAGAACACGAGAGCAAAGTAAGATTAACAAACGAGGATATGAGAAATGGAAGAATAGCGGTGGCAGAAGAACGAATGGGGAAAGAAGACGGAGGTTTAGCAAGGCACAGTATAGAGTGTACGGAAGAAATAGACTGGGAGAACACGCGAATATTGAGAAATGAGTATAGATTAAGACAGCGGAAAGTTATAGAAGGAATTGAGTCTCTTAGGGTAAGGCATAACAAAAAGAAAGTTTTAAACAGTTTTGAATCATTGATGACCTGGAGACCAATATTAAACAAATACTTTATTAAGGAAAACGAGCGCGCGCGCGCGTGGGCGCACGCAATTTAATTTAAATTAGCTTGCGTAAGATGAACGTTTAAAAGTTGTACACGTCAAATGTAAGAACAATTTGTTAGCCTGAGGACGGATAGTAAACTATCCGAAACGTAGCTAAAATAAAAGTATTATCAAAAAACCTCTTGTGTGATCCTTGATTTAAATTAAAAACACAAAATTATTTTTTAAAATGGTTTATATTAAAACGAGCGTTTTAAACTTTGTCAGGTCCTACTTTCATTTCACTGCTCTTTAAAGAATAATTTTCTCCTGTAAAGCCAAACCAGAAAACGCCTTTCATTCCTTGGTTGTGAGCACCTCCGAGATATTTACCATTCAAGTCTGCATACGAACATTTCTGAGATCCCTCAAACCACCATCCACTTTTTTTGTTTGTAGCGCAGTTATTATTCCCATTCACATCATTGTCGACGTCTATAGTGGTGAATTTCATGCCATTGTTTAGTCGTAACGAATCTCCTGCTGTCCCTGTGAAGTAAATATTCAGCAAGAAGTCACAAACTCAATAATTCATAAATATTTTAGCCAATCAAGTCACCGAATGTATGTCACGTGTAGCTAGGTAGGCCCGGATGGGTTTTACTTTTACTAAAGTTTCAGTGTTATTTCCTTTAAGGTGGCTCAATCTAATTTTAAAAAAAAGGAAAATTCACGATTTAGATGGGTATTTTCGGACAATATAATTACTTGTTGACAAACAAAAAGTACCTTACTTCCATAAAACAACATCTAAAGAGTTTGAATTTTTGCACAAAAGTTACGCAACAGCTGTTGCTATGGCAACAATGACGTTTCAAGATGGCAGATATTTTGGCTTTAAAGTAATTTAACTCGGTAAACGACATCGGTGACCCCAAATTTTATTTAAAAATTATTTTCCTTAGTATAATCAATTATTTTGACAATTAAAAAAAAATTCTGTGGAGCCAAAAAAAATTATTATGAACAATCATCTTCACGTAATTTAAAAAATTTCGGCTCCACAGAATATTTTTTCATTTGCCAACGTAATTCAATAAATTAAGACAAACCATTTTATGACATAAAATTTGGGGCTCCCCTATGTCGTTTTCGAGTTAAATTGCTTTAAAGCCAAAATATCCGCCATATTGAAACGCCATTGTTGCCATAGCAACGGCAGTTGCGTAACTTTTGTTCAAAAATTCAAACTCTTTGGATGTTGTTTTACATAAGATAGGTGCTTTTTGTTTTTGAACAAACAAGGGCAGATGTCGTGCTCGACCAATCAACGCATCTGTTTACATTTTCGCTCTCAGCTAATCATAATGCAGGAAACGCGAAATTTACACCAACAGGCGAAGTAGAAAATATTGCCGTCTTCTCGGGCTTCCGTGACATTCAATTTTAACTTTTCTAATTTAAAACCAAACGATTATGATATATCATATAGCACATTACAATCGACCTAGAACGGAACATATCCATGTTTGAAATTTTTCACTATGTCGACGCGTATACAAATTTGAGTAATCTAATTTGACTGCAATAAACCTAAAAATTTCTACATTTCTCTGCTTTACGTTTTTTGTTGGAAAACTCTTTTCCGCTCTTGTTGAAAATCGTTTTGGTCAATGTATTATTTCATAACCTAGAAGATAACCTAGATCGAGAGACTGATTTTCTGCAAAATCGGTCGGACAATATTTTTGTATTGATTTCCTGTATGATCGTGAGCATGCGACTCAGATATTTTTTTAAATCAGGCGCTATAAACGCGTTATCGTCTAGGTTTTGAAATAAAACATTGACCAAAACAATTTGCAACAAGAGCGAAAAAGAGTTTTGCAGCAAAAACTAAAAGCAGAGAAAATATAGCATTTTTTAGTTTTATTGCAGTCAAATTAGGCCCGTTTCAGACGGCGTACTTCTCATGTGCCGAACTTAATTCATGAATTAGGTACGGCAGAAGAGCGACGTATGAATCAATCAAGTACGGCAGAATTTGGAGCGGCAAAAGTTCGACACAAGTTCGGCAGAGCTTGCCGCATTATGCGACGTTGGAGCGACATTGATTCATACGCCGCTCCATTCATGTGCCAAACTTAACTCAACTTTAGTCTAAAAAGAAACTTATTTATTTTGAATTTTATTTAGGCTTCGCTGGCGAATGCGCCCCGGACCTTGTCAATAACATTGTATTTGGTACGCCGATTGAATCACTGCCGTTCTTGTGTCGCATCTAATACAATTAAGTTCGGCACATGAAGAGTACGGCGTCTGAAACGGGCCTTAGATTACTCAAATTTGTATACGCGACATAGGGAAAAATTTCAAACATGGATATTTTCCGTTCTAGGTCGATATTAATGTGCTATATCATAATCTTTTGGTTTTAAATTAAAAAAGTTAAAATTGAATGTCACGGAAGCCCGAGAAAACGGCAATATTTTCTAGTTCGCCTTGGTGTAAATTTCGCGTTTCTTGCATTATGATTAGCTGAGAGCGAAAATGTAAACAGATGCGCTGATTGGTCGAGCACGAAATCTGCCCTTGTCTTTTCAACAAGTAACACTTGTCCAAAAATACGCATCTAAGTCGCAAATTTTCCATTTTCAAAAACTGTATTGAGGCACCTTAAGCTTCCGAAAGTAACTTTACATTTTTTATTACCTCCGCCAGGAGGTTATGTAATCATCTGGGTTTTTACCTCCGCCAGGAGGTTATGTAATCATCTGGGTTTGTATGTGTGTGTGTGTGTATGTGTGTGTGTGTGTATGTGTGTGTGTTTGTCTGTGAGCACGATAACTCAAGAAATACCAAACATATCCGTACGAAATTTTTTGAATGCATTTCCAATCGGCTAAGGAAGAACTGATTAAAATTTGGTTGAATTTGGTTAAAAATTGAACAAGAAATGAACAAAATTTTGTCTTGCTTTTCCCGGTCAATTAACAAAAAATATTACTGAATGCGTAATTAGGACGTGTATAATTTATGCACTCAGTGCTAAGACAATAATGAGATGATAAACCTCATTAAGCTTCGGCCTTCATTATCTATTGTCTTAGTTGCATTTCACGCGACCGAAATTCAATGTCCAAAACAAGGCTTACGGAGTTACGCATTATTACGTTCAGCAAAGTGCCAGTCCATTCAAATTCTAACAACATTAGATTACTTCAATACAGGGTGTATAAAAAGAACGCAACCTCGGAATTTCCCAAGAAATCGACATTGTTTTAAAGACAAAAGATTTTAGCTGCCTGGGAATTTAAAATAGCACAACTGTGAAAGTTTTTATTTTACAAGTACTGTACAGTACAACAACAGTAATATGTTCTATTAGCAATTCGATTTCAATTCGCGGGGGCCTGAAATCTTTTATGCTTAAGAATTGTAAAGTGGATTTCTTAGGAAATTCCAAGGTTGCCTTTCACTTCCGAGTAACGGGCGGAGGTATGCAGTCTCTGAGTGCCCTCTAGTTGTTTATTGAGTTTGCTTGATGGCACCATCAGCCTTGTTACAAGACTGTGCTAACAAGTTTGTTACAGCCATGATATAACAAGAATGTTACAAGGTTGTCAACACAAGGTTGTAACAATCTTGTTATACCAAGCATGTAACGAACTTGTCAGAACAACCTTGCAATTACAAGTCTGATAATTTCGACAAGGTTGTTACAAGTTGTCAACAAGTTGTTCCAAACCTGTTGACAACTTGTGACAAGCAGTGCAAATACATCTTGTTGACGGCTTGTTGGCAGACTTGTTACAAGATGTGAGATTTTTGCGTGTGTATCAAGATACGAGCTAATATCCTGCCTGCTAGTAGAGAGCCAATCAGATTGCAGAATAGCTTATATCTGGTAGCTGTCTATATAATAATTATTATTACTTACCTGAGTAGTTACCAACATTCAAAATGTAAGCTTCGCTTTCATTCCCGACAGAAAATGATTCATAAACTGCATAAGCTGTCTCGTTTTCAAAACTTTCGAGATCAACCCTCAGTACATTCTGCCCACTGGCTGAGAGGCGATGAATCTTATCCAGACCAAGCCAAAATTCACCAGACAAATTGCCAAATCCAGTTTTGTAGTCAGTCCAGCCTCTGTAAAAATCCTCAGAACCATCCACACGTCTTTGGAATATAGTCCAGCCCCGCCCTGAAGTGGTTTCCATATCACAACGAACAGGAAAAGCTCCCAGGCCATCCGGGTCGATTGTGTACATTCCGGTAGTTGTCTTGCCTGATTTGTACAGGTCATCACAACTTTTTGCTGAGAAAAAGTAAATTAATAAATCCGAGTTTGCTAATCTAAGCACAACTTTTTGCTAATCAAGATGGCAAATATTTTGGCTCTTAACGCACTCTACATAAAAAAACGCCTGGTTGCCCCCATTTTTTGACTCGGAAAACATTTTCTTGTAGTACAATAAACTATCTGACCAATTATAAATAAAATTCTACAGAATTCTACAAAATTTCTAATTCATGGTTTTCTCCTATTTTTAAATTGTATAGAGAGCCACCTTTAGCTTAAACGATTCCCCTGTTTGTAAACATAAATTTGTTTCAAGTCATCTTACCATAATTTACAGGTCCTTCTACTTGTTCTTGTTGTTCTATACTTTTTCTATTTTTTTCTATTATCTGCAATTGAAAACAAATTTAATTAGTTTTGAAAATGTTATGTTATACCAATAAATATAACGCTCTTAAATAGCTACTGTACAGTTTCGTTTACTGTTAAAAAAACATAAACGTTTATGGCATGCTTAATAGTCAAAGTAATACTTGTTGCATGTTCGTTGTTCATAGAAAATCTATATAAAAAATACCTTTTCCATGAGCGGTTGATAATAATCATAGTTTTTATCAGGCAGCAAATTCTGAGGATGCGTTGTTTTCGTGGCGTTGTTGAGCTGGCAGTTGTTAGAAGGATGTTGATGTTTTCTCGCTTTGTAATTGATTGATTTACAGTGAGAAGGTTTTCTGAGACAGTACAGAGAACATTCTAAGAAATTCAGCGTGTTGTGTTCACTGATTACATGATCGCATAGACGGTGACCTGGAGAAAATTTAAAGAAAAATATCAGAGACGCAAATATAATTCGGCAGAACGCACTTATAGTTGTAGGCTATATATACACCTCGATCGTGTAAGATGAGAAGAGTAAATTCTGCTCGACTGAGCTAAACACCGCATGATTTTCTCTGTGTTCTATTATACATAGAGAGATATATAGATAAAACTTTTATTCCGATAGGGTGGTCTCATCAGACCACAACTAGTGGTCTGTTATCAACGAGAGCCCTATATAACTACAATACGCTCTACAGTACAATCTATCAATTATGTTATAAAACTACACTACTTTCAGACTATTAACTATGATATGATTATAATATCTTACTTAAGTTAAAATCCATTGAAAGATTAAAAGTATCTAGGACAGACTGTGACATAACGGATTAAAAACCTTATCTCCATCATAGTAAAAAGATTTCTTCGCCCGATTTCTGTTCTAACTCTTGGCAGATGCAAGCTGGAACATCATTTTTTAAAACTCATAAAACTGTATGGAACATTATTTTTTAAGACTGATAAAACTGTATGGAACAGCATTTTTTGGAACATCATAGGGTTACCCAGTATAAATAAAGTTGGTTTAGTTATGGGATCTTTCCATTGCAAAGGGAAGAGGGGGGCATGCCCTGGTCCCTCAAATAGCAGTCGATGAAAGGTTTATCGACTCATTCTAACCGATACGAAAGCAGTAAAACAGTAGCACGCTTTTGGAACCTGAAAACCACAGGATTGATTTGCTCCCTAATAATTTGAGATTAATCGCATATTTTTGTTTCAGATAAAGTTGAAATTTTTGGTGGTATTTTCATAAAACACTTTCCTTCTTTTTAGTTGTGTAACATTCCCTGATATGAAAAAGAAATCTTACTGTAGTGAGACCGACTTTTGGTTTCTTTCCAAATTTTAATTTCATTACAGCACTTACCTGACATGGACAATTTGAACAACGCACTTGAATGTAAAGAACTACAGGTCTTTGTGTATAACAGTAACAGATGGAGAAACAGAATACGAGCAGAATTCATGACTGATACCTCCACTTTGTTCATCTGCCTGTGAGAAAAAAATGAAATCTTCCTCAAGATTTTTATTACCATTTTACAACTGGTTGTCAAATAAAACCATCAGGCTGTACGCATGCAAGTAAATTGGCTACTACTGATCCATGAACGTAAAACAAGTTGTAACAAACCTGCAGCAGACTTGCAACAATAAAAACATTAAAACATTAAAGTATTAAAACATTTAAACATTAAAACGTTTTTGGACGAATTTAAATTTTTAAAAAATATACTGTAATTCCAACAAATTGCCAACAGGATTGTATTCGCACTGCTTGATCCCAGTTTGTTGACAGATTGTCAACGGCTTGTCGAGGCAAGCGGTTGTGTTTTCAACAGACTTGCCACAGGGGTTGTTTACCATCTACATGGAAAGCCCATCCGGTTTGAAATTGTGCTAATGGTAAGCAAAATTTCGGATAGAAAATCACATTCGGATTATGGGCTTTCCATTTAAAGTGACTGACGGAAGGCACTGAAGTATTTAATAATTCCAATTGTTAAATCGAGAAGAGCCTGGAACTGGTGAAAAAATAAAAAAGATGTAAATAGAAAAAAATTCACCGGTTGAAACGTTCCAAATAGTAAGAGAGGACAACCTTTTCAAACAAACCGTTCATTCCGGAAAAGTTCCCGTTGGACAGTCGAAGTATGCTTGTTCCATTTACTTTCCGTACCGAATCACCGGAATTTCCATGTAAATGGTAAACAATCAAGTTGTTCTAATTATCGTCCGGCAATCCAACAATTTCTGAACAAGTTGTGAGTGACAAGTGACAACTTTGTAGCAACTTGACAGCGCGTTACTAACAGCGATCTGATCAAACAACACCCTTTATCTTACGCTTATGATACCATAAATATTATATATTTATACACTCAATATAGGCCCGGATCTTATTCTTTATCGAGGCCCAAAACGCCGTCATCTGAACGATTGGTCGCGTAGCGAATAAAATTATTTCAATTCAATGAAATTGAAGGATGAAAAATTTAGGATGTCGACTAGTACAAAACGAAAAAAACTGAATGATCTTAAAATTGGTTCATAACAAGCCAAGCTATATAACTTGATTACTTTTACTATAACTTAAATAAATAAATGTATTATAGGCAGTATACTCGTTATAATTATTGGTTCTAATTATGTGTGGCTGATTGAAAATCTACTATATAGCTTACCTGTAATAAGTAGGAATTTGACTTCTTGTCAGAGTGGGAAAGAACAGATAATTAAAAGCCCTCAAGAAAGAGATGCATATTATACTGCTTCGCTTAATTGGTTAATGAACTTTTTTCTTAATACGCATCATAAGTCGTTCACGGTGCGATAATTGGCGTACACTAATGATATTATTAGGAAGCTTAACATTAACGATTACGTCAGACTGCTAGAGCCGCAAAGGGAAATATCAAATTGCATTTTGAGGTCAAACTGTTAGCTGTTCAAAGTTAGGGCAATTTGTGCATTAAACTGAAGCATAAATTGGCTACTTACCTGTCGAAACCTTGTGGGACGTTCCTTTCAAATGGGATTTGATGTTTGCTGCTTGCGTTTAAAGGTCTATCGTATATACGTCAATCTTAGGGGCGGTTTCCACTGTTGCGTCTTTTCGTACGTATACGTATTACGTGCGCGAAAATACGTACGTAATTATATTTCCACTTCGGCGTATTTCCGTCAACGTTCTACGTACATAACTTTTCAAGATGGACACCGGCTGTCTTACAAGATAAATAGATAGATAGATAGATTTAATAAAATACTCAGGTTGAAGTTAAGTGGAAGTTGTACTAGAAGAAGAAGGTTAAGTGAAAGTTGTACGACTTCTTTATTTTCGAAATACGTTAAAGCGAATAAACATGTACAAGATAGGATGGCATTGGTAGTAAATTGAGTGATAAATTGCAAAAACTTCAAGATAGAGCTGCACGTGTTATAACACGTTCTTCCTATGATGCATCATCTAGCTCTGTACTTGAAGAACTTGGATTGGATGGAATCATTTATATACTAACCGTAACGTGAAATGCAAAAAGCAATTCTCATGTATAAAGTCACGATCAATTAGTAAAACGTAACAGTGGAAATCGCCTGTTGAATCGTTTTGTAATACTCAAATTCTGAAGAGGGAACAACCTATTTTCAAAACTAAAGCCTGTTTAAAGACAATTATCGAACACATTTTCTTTTTGATTATAATTTACTAACGTTCGTTGACAATGAAAAAATGAAAAAAACATATTTATCATGGTATACATTATGTACTGTTTAATAAACGAGCAGGAGTGTTTTATTAGGTTTAAAGACACGAGCGCGCAGCGCGAGTGGCTTTAGACCTAATAAAACACGACCTGCGAGTTTATTAAACGGCTTCAAACACGACTACAAATTCAATAGATTTACTGCCTTGTTAGTATTCTTTATATAAAGAATACTAATGAGGACACGACTACAATAGATACTGCCTTATTAGTATTCTTTATATAAAGAATACCAATTAGGAGTGTTTTATCAGGTTTAAAGCCACTGCACGTGACATATTATGGTTGACATGATTCGTCAATAAGCTTAGGAATTATTAATGAGTGTTTGAAATATAGTTTCGCAGTATTAAAAACTGAAAACTAATTTTCCGTTCGCTTTAGGGCACTTGTGTCAAAATTAAAATAAATTAAATATTTCCCATCGTCAGGTTGTCTAGGCCTAGGGCCGCGTCTTAATTTACACTTTGGTCTTTAATCTTCAACCTTTTATATGAGCCATATCTGACGCTTGCTAATAACCCATGGGAATCTTTACTCTTCATCTAACATCTTTACCTAAATGTGACGAGAATAGAGCACATTATATAGCCCAAAAAGGGCACTTGTGTTTGAGAAAAGGGCGCGTTTTTCAGTTTTCAAAAAGCGTGTGTGGTGATGGTAGTGGTGGTGGGGGGGTTAACCCCACTGCCATCCGGTTCCGCGGCCTTCGAAGCCCGTCTTTCGTCAAAGCGCCGACATTAAAAAACGTGGCGAAAAAAACTTGTTCGTCTCGGCATGTTGTCAGCTTAATGAAAATAATTTTGACAATTTAAAAGAGGGCCGCAAAATGTCCTATTTATAACATAATCAATAATTCAAAACGCACTTGGTATTAATGAGGTCGTACACGCAAATATAACAAGGAAATAAAAATTACATCGACTCAAGCTTGATTCTAAAACAATCCAGATTCCTATAAACAACATCCATCGGTGATGGTTGAGGTTTAATTTCAGGGCTGTCTCAGGGTCAGGCTTTATAGTCAAAGTTTAATTTCTTTCCATTCATTTACATCATATTTAGTGTGTACGACATAAAATTACAACATTTGCCAAATGCTTTGCCCCCTGCAGTAAGCCCAGTAAGTGGTTTGCGTTCAGTGTCAGTTTAGTCCATTATAGTTTTAAAACATCAATTTATTAATGGCATGAATGGATGAATGAATAAGCAACTTAAATAATTAATTAAAGAGAGTAAAAACACATAACAGCAACATAACTGAAAAACCTAGCTGTGGCCCTCATATACATTATATACAAAGTTATTAATTCTACTTTAAAACGTGTAAAGCTACTTAAGCTAAGAAAAATATATAAAAGATCTTATAGGATTATAAATTCACATATATAAATTATACAATTTACTGATCACAATAATTCAACACGATCGATACCCATATATGATTCTAAACATAAAAGAATTAACGCTAGATTTCGTCTTAAAATGAGTTTTCATAAACTTTTAACGAGAAAGCGTTTATTATACCAATAGCGCTAATATACAAATAATGAATGTTTATGAGTGCAATGGTAAGAATATTTTCATGAGGTGAAAGATGGAATGTTCCATTCAACGTGGCGACAGCCGAGTTGAATGGAACATTCCATCTTTCACCGAATTTTTTCCATCTTTCTCCGCTTTTTTAAATCGAGAACCGGGGAATCGAGAACCCCACGAATCTTTAAACTGGGAATCGAAAAACCCCCGAATCTTTAAAATGGGGATCGAAAAACCCCCGAATCTTTAAAATCCGGAATCCAAAACCCCCCGAATCTTTAAACTGGGAATAAAAAAAGCCAAGAATCTTTAAACTGGGAATCGAAAATCCCCCGAATCTTTAAACTGGGAATCGAAAAACCCCCGAATCTTTAAACTGGGAAAAAAAACAACCCGAATCTTTAAAGTGCATATGTCACAAATACCATTTTTCCCTCAAAAATCGGCCGTGACGAGACAATTCGAATGATATATGTCTTACCTGCAACGGATAAATACTTCCAGAGATATTTTATCTCAAACATGCCAAAAAATAGAGTTTCTTAAAACGTGGCCGGGAGAAAAGGGTCTGAGTACGAATCGCCGCTGTGACGTCAAAGAAGTAACCAAAATATTTCATAACATGTGTTTTTCTACAACATTGCGAGAGCAGGGCCTACAAAAAATTATAATTTCTGTTGTTTCTTAAAATGTCTGCTTCCGAATCTTACTCAGACGATAGTTCGACATCGTATGACTCCGATGTGGATACAAGCGAGGAATACGAGCTAGAAGTGGAAGAATATGACTCGCCTTCAGAGAAAGAGTCGCAAGAAGAAATACCAACTCAGGCTCAAGCAGACTGCAATGATCAAAATAGTGCTGGAGCAGTGGTTGTTCCTTACGAGGAAGAGCCTATAGCAGATGATGATTGGGTTGAGCGATACGAAGCAGAAAAAGAGACCGCGAGAATTCACTTTGAGGAACTCCAAGAACGTTTAGACTGAACGATTCCGACAAGTCAATGGTAAATACAAAATATATTTTATGGCATGTCACATTGGCTCGTGTTTGCACTTTTATCGACTTTATACAGATTTGAATAAATCGTATGTTTTTTTATTTAAAATACTTAGGTGCAAGTGTAACAACTGCGACACAAGTCTGTTACAGAACGAGTACGAAACTCAATGTTGTCAGGAAATTGATCGATGCACCAAGGCATTGAGTTCCGATGATGTCCTACAAGACGTCGAAATACCCCCTACTTGTGTTCTCAATCAACCAGGGTTTAGAATCAATTGCTTGGAGAAATGGTCCTTAAAAATGGCTGTACCAAAATACAAAACAAAAATTGGAAAAAGATATCGCCAACAAGGATCAGAAGAAACGTGAGTTTTTTTCACTATAAATCTGCTTTTTACAATGGGCCATCTATTTAAAATGGGCTATTCCATTTAATATCCGCACCCCCCCTATCGAGGAGCTATAATTTTTTGACAATACCCATGAGGAATTCCTGGCTAAAATATGTCTACCCATGAGGAATTCCTGACTAAAATATGTCTACCCATGAGGAATTCCTGACTAAAATATGTCTACCCATGAGGAATTCCTGGCTAAAATATGTCTACCCATGAGGAATTCCTGGCTAAAATATGTCTACCCATGAGGAATTCCTGGCTAAAATATGTCTACCCATGAGGAATTCCTGGCTAAAATATGTCTACCCATGAGGAATTCATGGCTAAAATATGTCTACCCATGAGGAATTCCTGGCTAAAATATGTCTACCCATGAGGAATTCCTGGCTAAAATATGTCTACCCATGAGGAATTCCTGGCTAAAATATGTCTACCCATGAGGAATTCCTGGCTAAAATATGTCTACCCATGAGGAATTCCTGGCTAAAATATGTCTACCCATGAGGAATTCCTGGCTAAAATATGTCTACCCATGAGGAATTCCTGGCTAAAATATGTCTACCCATGAGGAATTCCTGGCTAAAATATGTCTACCCATGAGGAATTCCTGGCTAAAATATGTCTACCCATGAGGAATTCCTGGCTAAAATATGTCTACCCATGAGGAATTCCTGGCTAAAATATGTCTACCCATGAGGAATTCATGGCTAAAATATGTCTACCCATGAGGAATTCCTGGCTAAAATATGTCTACCCATGAGGAATTCCTGGCTAAAATATGTCTACCCATGAGGAATTCCTGGCTAAAATATGTCTACCCATGAAGAATTCCTGACTAAAATATGTCTACCCATGAGGAATTCCGGACTAAAATATGTCGATCTACCCATGAGGAATTAACAACAAGGCTGATTAAAAATACAGTATGTAACAAGTATTATATTTTTAATTATCAAAAATAAAATAACCAACACTTAGGCCTTGTTTGTATGATCCTGCTTACCAAGACGTATTGCCCAGAGTGTTCATGTGTAATTTTTTATCTTGTTTGCTGACATTGAACTACCATTTCAGTACGTAATTCTATGGTCACCGCGCTTGCAAAGCTTGTACATTACAGCGATGCAACACAAATATCTTCTCTTATTTACAAAAAGATATTGTTTTAACAAATGAAATGGTAAAATCTGAAATCTTTTTTTTTACTTCATCCCTGTAAGCAGACTGCATGGCGTAATCTTATGGAAAATTTTTAATCCTGCCTACCTGTGGCCCTGGCTTATGCAGACAGAATCTCACCAAGTGGTCTGGCCCACTTAAGGGTATGAACGTGATGAAAATACTTAAAGGAAAAATACTACGACGCAAGATAGGTCGGCGAGATGTCTTGATAGGCAGGCTCGTACAAACCTTCCCTTAAATTATACAATTTATTGCATCTATGTATCATGATAATTATGCTTGCAAAATGTTTTGTAGTCTGCAGATTAAATTAGTTTTGAAGTACTATTTAAAAAACGAGCAGGAGTGTTTTATTAGGTTTAAAGTCACGAGCGCGCAGCGCGAGTGGCTTTAGACCTAATAAAACACGACCTGCGAGTTTTTTAAATGGCTTCAAAAACGTTTGCATAATAAGTCAAATCATTATATAAAAATCTTTATATAAAAATCTTTATATAAAAATCTTTATTTAAAAATCTTTATATAGTTTGCATAACAATGGTCTTTTGTTAAAGTGTTCTTTAGCTGGTATTATAAAGACGTATGCACGTGACTAATTTCTTACTCAAGATTGGATAATTGCTTCATGAATTATTAATGAGTTTTTGAATAATGTTTGTGAAACTCATTAATAATTCATGATGGCACAAAGCGTGAAGGAGTTTGTGTATCTGATACAGAAATCATGCTGATATACATTGATATACAAATATCATTCGTTTATTTTAAATTGTGGAAGAATACGAATGTTCTCATCGAGACGTTTCACAAGCTATAAAGCATTCGCGTCCGTGTTGTATCCGACATACAACCTCTCGCATTCAGCTCGTGTTTGTATATCTGATACAACACGGCCGCTCATGATTTATCTATTACGCAGTAACTGCAAGAATATATGGTGCCTTTAACATTGTTTCAAGGTGTACTGATTTTAGTTTTCAGTGTCATTTTGATAACTGTAACTTTCCTTCGGCCAGCATTGAAGTCACATCAATTTTGTAAACTGATTCTGGTTCTGAAAGGTAAACGACTTCAATTTGGTCTAGCATTGAATTGGCATTCTGAACTTCAGCAACATACCACCCAGGCCGCCAACCAGAGTTGCCTATCTCTTCCTTCTTCCAACAAACCTTCACACGAACTCCGACCTCAAAGAAATTCTCAAGTCCATTATCTGTTTCGGCACACAGTGTATTATATCCTGATTTCACCACATCATCCTTGGCATCCCTTTCACCGATATTGGTTGATCGAGCGACATACCTCTTAAGAGACTTGAATAACTGATGAAGATCACTTACGTTTGTGATATTCTCGGGGACTCTTATTTTCGATTTTTCTTTCAGGACACTTCTGTTCACTCTAATTCGTTTCACGTTGTCCATGTTTAGCAAATACTCTTTAACTTCCTCTGCTATAATCTTTCTTGCACTGGCTATTGTCTCCTCTATAATTTTTGCTTGACTGAATGAGCAAAGATGAGTACGTCTATGACTCAAAAGAAAAACTCTGAGGACTAAATCATCTTTGTTGCCACAGTACGATAACGCATGGGACTTTAATATATATTTTAATGTAGCAATAGGTATTTTCCTGATATTAGCAACTGTATCTGGTAGTGAGCTTGGATCTCCATTGTAGTCAGGGTAAAAACTGTTTTCCTCTGTTTCACCATTGTTCTGTGCAATACGTCGAACCAGTTCGTGCTTGTTTCCTTTTTGAGACAAACCATTTTTCTTGCATATTTGATGTAATTCA